CGGACTTCGTCAATCGCATTATGAAAGCGGTCAAGCCCTGCAAGTTCACATCAGAATCTGAGATGATCATCAACCAACTCATAAGCGGCACAAGTCTTGAGGTTGCGCAAAGAATCATATTTGAGGCGGATATCAACAAAGAATGGACCATCGAGAAAATCGTCGCCACAATGAAGCAAACCGAAGCAAACAACGAACCTGTTACCGGCGTTTCGAAACGCAGAGATGGCAAGTGAGGACAAGATACGACAACTGGCAAGCAAGGGCTTCGGGAACAGACCGAAATACATGCAGCGAAGACAGCCATTCAAGCAGCGGAAACGCGAAGCAGCAAACGAGCTGAAATGGCCCCGACCAGAAATGCTTGCACATTCTGTGGCAGCCAACACCCGCCAAGGAGATGCCCCGCGTACAATCATCGATGCCAAACATGCAAAAAACTCAATCATTTCGACCTCGTGTGCAAATCAAGCAAATTCCAACAACAACTCCACCTATTAGAAGGAGATGATCAAACCGAAAACGACTTCGAGTACTCGGAGGGAATCGAAGACCGCAGTTCAGACTTCGACATCTCCGCAATCCGAGAGGAAAAGCAGAGAGAGCTCCGGGAAACAAATTCTTCGCATCTCTTGGACTAGCCAGCAACGCAAAGCTCCGAGTCCAAATCGATTCGGGAGCCACAATTTCGGCTATGAGCTTCGAAACTTATAAGAAAGTCTTGAAGGCCAATGGAGTGGCCGAAGCTTTGGACAAGGGGCAAGCAATCTCTCTCAAAGTATACAATAATATGTACGAAACTTCAATGGGCAAATTCATCCTGAATTGCGAGTTCGACAGTCGTAAATATCGAATCCCGTTCCATGTAATCAAAAACAACGTCGACACGGTTCTCTCCGGGATAACGGCATTTCGAATGAACATCATCAAGTTTCATCGAAGAGTGGAATCTGCCTTCAAGATAGACCCGACGGGTTCGGCTAAAGCAAAGATACTAGAAGAATACAAGGACATCTTCAAAGGGCTCGGATGCATGAAGCCCTCGGTCAGAATCGAGATCGATCCGACAGCTAAACCGCTACAAGCAGCTCCAAGACGACCCGCAGTCGCTACGAGGGAGGCTTTCATTAAACGCATCAAGCTCATGGAAAAGGACGGCATAATTGAGAAGGTGAATTACCCAACAGATTGGATCTCCAACGCCGTGGTCGTGTCCAAATCAGATGGAAGCGTAAGAGTAACCCTCGACCCATCAGAACTCAACAAGGCTATCAGACGCCCACGATACACAATGCCAACTCTGGAAGACCACCTCCCCATGCTGTCCCAGGCGAGATGGTTTACCATATGCGACGCGAAAGATGGGTTTTTCCAACTGCCATTGCACCATGAATGCACGGATCTAACGACCTTTTGGACTTCCATAGGCAGATACAAATACCTTCGAATGCCGCAAGGCATATCGTCGGCTCCGGAAGAATATCAGCAGAGACAGGTCACCGCATATGATGGACTCAAAGGCTGCTTGGTCGTCGCCGACGACACTCTGGTTTATGGTGTCGGAAAATGAGGCCAAGGAGGACCATGATCGCAACCTGAAGAACCTATTTCAACGAGCCAGAGAAGTTGGTCTAAAATTCAACCCCAGCAAGCTTCAATACTGCCTCAGAGAGGTCCGCTATATGGGACATCTGATCTCCAGCGACGGGGTAAAGTCAGACCCGGCGGAAGTAAAGGCAATTCTAGAAATGAGACAACCCCAGGATACAAAAGCAGTAGAGCGTTTTCTCGGAATGGTTAATTACCATCTCCCATTCATACCCCACTTGTCTGAACTCACCGCCCCTCTACGGGACACAATCAAGAAAGGCAACCATTTCGTTTGGATGTCAGCTCAAGAAGAAGCGTTCGCCAAGATCAAAGAGAAACTGGCGAAATCACCAACGCTGGCCTACTTCGACGTGAAAAAACCTGTCACCATACAAACGGACAGTTCAGATTTGGGTGTCGGTGCTACAAGACAACAAGCCCATCAACTACTTCTCGCACGCTCTCTCGGAAACGGAAAAAGGATACGTAGCGATGGAAAAAGAGGCCCTGGCTATCATGACTAGTTGTCTCCGATGGGATCATCTGTTGTACGGCAAGGAGGACATCACAATCGAGACGGATCACAAGCCGTTGGTGCTCATTTTCGAGAAACCGCTCGGAAAATGCCCGAAACGATTGCAGCGGATGCGTCTCGCCCTATGTACAACGATACAACCTGAAACTCAAATACATTCCAGGAGTCACGAACGTCATCGCAGACACCCTCAGTCGCGCACCGTTACAAGATTACTCAGACTCAACAACCAAAGAGTCACTCTATCGGCTGGAGCTAGGCGCAATCAAGATCGTTGACGGTACCGAGATCTCTGATCCGGTTCTGGAGGAAATGTTGAGAATCTATCGTTGTCAAAGTCCTGACGATGTGAAACCAACACAATGAATGGAGTAGTTCACGGCCGCAGCCTTCGTCCGGGATGAACAACGACGTTTTCACAGGATTACTGTCCTTAATTCGCAAATCTCGGACTGGGCTCAAGCATGAGTCTTGAAGCCCCGATTGGACACCCTGAAGTGTGTGTCGTCGTGCACGTGCACCGTGCGACGTGTCTCGTCATCGATCCCTTTCGAAGCCGCGGCATTTATTGATCTCTCATACAGTCGAATGATCAACGCAAATGATCATATGAACACTCCATATGATCATTTGCGTTGACTTTCATAAATCATTATTCCATTATTTTATATCTGTAGCATATCTCTTGAGCCTGCGGGTACGTAGAGCGAGACCGCTTTGACAGCGAACTCGATTCGCTACACTCCCGCCAATCGCAACGCGATTTCGCTGGTGAAATTGGGTGGGGTGGATTAATGCATCATACCTAAATAACGTGAATTGGGACAGCCGGCTTCGTCTCGCTCGCCCGGAACTTTATAATTGATAGTGATAGATTCGGTGGGAGAAGTCTGCTCTTCTGGTCGCCCGCCTTTCACGATTTTTGAATATATGTCGGCCCTCTCTCGGAGCTTTTTCCCTCGCCCGACAAATTCCACTTCGGAGGGCGCTCCAGAGCAGAGTGCAGTGTCTCGTTCCGCCTTGTTCCAGAATCCAGCTCGCTCAAGTCACGACTACTCGCTCCATTGAATTTTCCCTGACAACCATGCCTCTTCAAGCAGGCGCAACTGCCCGTGCCCGCGCGGGAAGTCATCCGCCATACCATACCTCCCCGCGGGGGCTCCTGGAAAGTTACCTGGATCTCACATCGCCGCAATTCAAACAATCGGATAGAGACACGCGGGAGTTGATCAGTGAGAAACTTTATGTGTCCCTTTCGGAAGAAGCTCGGGACCACTTCAGATTAAGTTCCCGAAGTCTTCGAGCCGCGTACAATGCGGATACCGCGAGGGCGGCCGCCTTCTACTGCTCCAGACGCATCCTTTCGTTTCATGCCCGTCTGAAAAGAGGCTATTTCACCATGCCAACCGTTTCCGAAGCCTTGGCCGAGTGTCAGTCTGACCTCGCGGCAGTCGCCGTTCCAGATCCGGTCCCCACCGAAGCAGCCTCCAGTGTGGAACCCCTCAAGCCGCCGCCGCACGGTGCCATGTCTCCCTCAGTCTACCCGGGCTCCGCTCTCGTCGTTGGCCCACTGGCCCATCCCTTGCGAGGCACCGCAGTCGCTCCCTCGACGACTCGTCGAGTTTGTGTACATCGACGTGATCTCCCTCCTAGCGCCGCGGCCAGTGGAACCACAAATTTTTGCTCTGGTTCACCCAACGCCTCTACAGAGGCAAGCATGGTTCCATCTACTCCGCCAGCGGTAGGACCGAAGTCGGGGGTAGAAGGGCTCTACCTGCAAACCGAAGACGGCAGTCTCCGTCGGTTCCGCCTTGACGAACCGCCACACCCCCGATAAGCTCCTTCTTAAGCCATTTCCCGCGCGGAGCTCTCTTGCCCAACTTAATTTGTATCATCTCTCCCTTCAATTCGAATTCCATTGAATTGTAACTCAATAAACGGGGACCGTGGTCCCTTCCGTTTTCCTTACATTTTGGTTTCACTAATTGTTTTTGCATGACTGTGAGTGGTTACCCGAAACCTAATATTGAGCCACATCCAGTGGATAAAGTAGCTGGATGGGTCTCCGCAGAATCTTCCCGGCTTGTAATCTGACCATGCACGTTCTCCTTTTTCCATCCGGTCCCTCCCGGCCAACAAACTCAAGAACTCGCCCCATGGGCCAATAGCTCCTTGATGCCGCCGGGTCCTCCAGTAAAACCACGTCCCCCACTTTAATTGACCGTTCCTTGACCGGCTTGCTCATGTGAGCGGACCGGACGTGTTGAATGTATTCGGTACGAAACCGCTTCCAGAACGCATTCAGGACATTCTGTTGATGTTTCCATCTGTCAGACAATACTTCTGCCGTAGCCTGTTCGGCGGATTGGATAATTTCTTCCGTCTCCGGCAAGGCCGGTTTGCCCTGAATGCCATACAGGAGATCAGCCGGTCTCAGGGGCAGCATCTCATTTGAGTCGTTGCTGACCAGAGTCAAGGGGCGATCATTGACCATTTTTTCAACATCGGTTAGGGTTGTTTCTAATTCTCTGAAGTTGAGAATATTTTTGCCTAGAATTTTTCTCAATGGTTCCTTGATCGTTCGAAATAATCTTTCATAGAAGCCGCCTCGCCAAGGCGCTCGTTCTGTGTTGAATTGCCATGTAATTCTTCGACTCGAAAGAAATTCTTGTGTTTCCTCCGATCTCGCGAGATCGAAGAGCCATTTGATCTCTTTCGCCGCTCTTCGGAACGACGCCGCATTGTCGGAGAAAACTCTCGACACCGTAGGGTTTCTGTTATAGAATCTCCTCATTGCCAGTAGGAATTCGTATGTAGAGAGATTGCTGACTAGTTCCAAGCGTACCGCCCGGGAGACTGGACAGCAAAACAACATGATGTGAGCCGGTGTGATACCGTTGCTCGTCTTGACCGGGAAAGGTCCCGCAGCGTCGACCGCTGCTACCGTAAATGCTGGACAAGTCTCAATGCGAAACCTCGGTAGGGGTGGAACGCCTTCCGCCGCCGGTTTCGCACGATATTTCACACAGACTTTACAACCTGTGATCGCTTTTCTGGCTGCTCGCCGAGCTCTCAACACGAAAAATCTCATCCGAACCCTCTGGAGGATACCAGGGATGCTCCCAGCGTGAAAGCATATCTTCTCGTGTATCCACCGAATGTAGAGGTCGACTAATTCGTCTTCGCCTGGGAGAATAATGGGGTTTGCCGTTTCCCAAGCCACCTCAGATGATTCCGACAACCTGGATTTACTCCGTATCAGCCCTCGGCTATCCAAGAACGGTCTGTATTGGAACAATTGGCTCCCGCTCCGGATATGTTCCATTCCGCCTCCTATTTCCGCAGAAAAATAATGGGCCTGGATGTTTTTTAAAATGCGTTCCTCGGCATTCGCGTACTCCTCTGCCGATACCGTCGTCGGGTTTCCCACTGAACAATTTCGATGCCTGGACAGTCTGCTAACTTCAACGAGGCTCACGAGTGACTAAGAAGACGAGCTGAGTTTACCAGAGACGCCGTCCGAGAACGGTGGATCTTGTCAGTGTTCATTAAGCCAATGGTTACCTGTATTTATACCTGAACCGATGTGAAAGGAGGGAGAGTAAATGAGGCACCGTGTAGTGCCCCCTTGAGGTACCTCTCAGTCTATTCAGATACCTACTTACTGTGAGGCTGGTGATTACCTACTTTCAACACACCCCCTTAATCATCAGACTTACTGGGTGTATGTTTTCCAGTACTTCCAGTCTGAACAGTTCGAACGTCCATCTGGTTCTGAACCGTTCTGGTTCATGTCTCCTTGGGTTTTGTGGAGAGGGCATTTTGGCCCCTTTCTCATCCAGTTCTTCCGAGTGCGCCTGGCTCTTTATTTCGATTTTCGAGAGACGTCATTCGAACGGCTCTTGAGTCTTCAGAACGTGAAATTTATGGCTTCACTTAGAGGCTCCGTTATTTTACCGTGACAGTGATGGATAGATCAATTGAGCACTGCCAACAATTTTCGCGTGTTTCATCTGGTCGAACATATTAGATACGTGACCCGCATAAATTGATACGAACTTAACAATATGTCAAGACACGTTTGTATATACTGAAGACAATGCTCGTTGAGTGTGGAGTCAGCAATTCCAATCTTCGATCCCTATTTTTCCATATATGGTGTTGAATCCAGAAAGCGCCGAGAGCGCCGCCTGGGTTCCTTTTTCAATATAAAGTGCCCTGGAAGAACTCCGAGGTTCACCACCTGCTATGGAATGCCGCCGAGGCGACGCAAGCCTGTCATTCGGACAAGAAGTGTCAGCTCCAGTAGCAGGACACGGACCCACACCACTCAAGCGACCCAAACTCCAGAGGTCTCCGAGGACTCTTCTTGCGGATCTCCAGAGCCTCATCGACGAGGCCGCGATTCTTCTACAGGCTTCGCAGTTGGATCCGGTTCTGAAGCAATACCACCAGGAACGAATCCGAGAGCTTCGTCGTGCACAGGCGGAACTGTTCTCACAGACCCAAGATCCCCGGTCTTTTGCGAGTCCGTGGAGGGTAATCTCGGACGTCCCGACGAGCATCGAGGCGGCTTTACATCGCCGTTTCCCCAACGCACTCAACGGGGTGATCTATTTTGTCCCGGTCCAACCGGGACAGGGTCTGTGTCCCAACGTACAGATCTCTGGTCTGACTCCATACCGTAAGTGTTGTCCTGATCTTC